TTGAAACGTAAATTTCCCTCCGTACATAAGCCACTCTGAATATAAGCCCCTCCAAAAATAAGCCCCTCGAAAAGGGCCTTTGAATAATATAAGCCCCGGGGCTTATTTTCGGAATGTTACGTTATTGTGTTTACTCCAAGTGAAGATAGACGGTTTACTTGATCTTTCATAACATTGATTAGCGGTGAAATAACAATCACAATGCACATGTTCTTCTCACATTCATCTATTGAAGCAAATACCATAGGTAAAGCTTGGAACATGACGGATTATCCATATGACGTTGGCAAATTCACATACACATCACTTTTCATTTCTTGGTGCTTGTTAAGCTTCTCAAACCCGAAAATATCACATTTTTTGGCCAACACGTCATCTAGCAAACTCTCCCCATCTTCCACTATTTTGGTTTTCTCATGTATAGCAAGATCCCCATATAAACCCCACGTATGTTAGCTCAACAAAAATAGGAGCCGAATTATGATTGGTTAAAAAACACAGACGTCATGGAAATTGTTTTGCAGATCACAGACACTATTTTCTCGGAAGGTGAAACAAGAGCCNAAAATGGTAAATTTCCTTCCTACTGCAAGCTAACCTAGTCAATTTTGAAACGCAAATTTCCCTCCGTACATAAGCCACTCTGAATATAAGCCCCTCCAAAAATAAGCCCCTCGAAAAGGGCCTTTGAATAATATAAGCCCCGGGGCTTATTTTCGGAATGTTACGTTATTGTGTTTACTCCAAGTGAAGATAGACGGTTTACTTGATCTTTCATAACATTGATTAGCGGTGAAATAACAATCACAATGCACATGTTCTTCTCACATTCATCTATTGAAGCAAATACCGTAGGTAAAGCTTGGAACATGACGGATTATCCATATGACGTTGGCAAATTCACATACACATCACTTTTCATTTCTTGGTGCTTGTTAAGCTTCTCAAACCCGAAAATATCACATTTTTTGGCCAACACGTCATCTAGCAAACTCTCCCCATCTTCCGCTATTTTGGTTTTCTCATGTATAGCAAGATCCCCATATAAACCCCACGTATGTTAGCTCAACAAAAATAGGAGCCGAATTATGATTGGTTAAAAAACACAGACGTCATGGAAATTGTTTTGCAGATCACAGACACTATTTTCTCGGAAGGTGAAACAAGAGCCAAAAAAAGCATCTGCTCCCCATAGGCTACGTCAAAACTGTCAAAAAAGTCCTCTCAATCAATGAGTCAAAAAATAATTATTATGAGGAAGAAACCAGGGGAATTTTTCACTGAGAAACACTTGAACCAGGGGAATCTGTCCTTTAAAATTGCCCAACCCTGGAGGAAATTATCAGCAAGGCTCTGCCCATTTCACAATCCCACTGAATGACCTGGGGTCCTACCCCTCGAGGAAGCCAATGACATGTGCATTAGTGCAGCTGAAATTCACTGATGCATATTTAACACTTGAACAAGACGAAAATTAATGCTTGTAGTTCACTCACCTCTCATATCATCTCATTATTATTTCTGTGTATTTGGAATAATCTTCGATTCACACCCCGGGATTCACACAAACCTGCACATGATAACTGAAAGAAAAGAAAATTTAAATTAAGCTTATCTAACGCACTCAGATAACAAGAGTCATTAATGACAACGGTTGTAGTTTGCCAGCAAAATCTCATGTTAAAGGAGGGCATTCCTTACTCCAAATTAAACACAACTCTGAAAATAATGGACTGTCTTCGTAAACTACAGTAAGTTCCAAACATATCAGCTTACATACGAGAATACAAGTTCGAAGTCGAAAATGACGAGAATTTCCTTCTAGTCCACAAGAATCAGTTTTTTACGCGTTAAGTACATATCATCTCCACTAGAACCGTTAAAAATACTGCCTTTCTTTGTAACAATGTAAAAAACCCGCCTTTTGATTGTGATGAACTCCTTTTTCGTTCGTCCGTCCTGTCTGTTTACTCGTCCACCATTTGGAAGACCGATTCCAGTCTCTCTCGGGCACGGGCTTCCCATATCACGTGCTCTCTGAACTGAAACAATGAACAAAGTAAAGATGGGTTTTTTAATTAGTCTAATGTGTCAGTTGTGAGAATGTCTTACTACAGGGATCTCTGACATTTCTGGTTTGTAAAGCATGCAAGAAGAAATTTGGGTTTCATAGTTACATGGGCCATATAGATGACAATAGGTATGCATTGCTGTGAAGGGTATGGTTTTCAAGCAGTTTAGTTTGGGATAGGGTACACTAATGGCGATCAGAGTGTGTGGGTTGTTTTTTTGGTCCAGTATAGGGTAGCAAATTAACCTGAACTAAGGCTGTTATAGCTTAAGGGTTCCCTAGGAGGTATTCAACAAAGTTGTATAGGGGAAGGCTCACCCCAAGGTCCAACCCTTGACCCTTTTTGACAGAAAATGCAATCTTGACTGCTGGCTGGATTTGTTCATCAAAGTCCCAAGTTCAAACCTACCAGTTGGGATTCTTAAGTTACCTCCTACCAGTTGGGATTCTCAATCAAGTTTTGTTCCAATTTTTAAAACGTTTCATTATCCCTGAAAACCCCATAAGGGGAAGGGATGATTTAGTATTTAGGCAATTTTTTGAAGTGATACTGGACATGAAAATTTTTGAAAATGGAACAGCAAGTTTTGGTTGGAATGGACCAACCAGGGAAATGGAACCTACTTGGGAGGTGCACCACTTTTTCCAACCAAAGCTTCCGGATGTTTGCGCAGAGGATGCTTAGACTGACGACTAGCAATAAAGGAGGTGCTGTTGGTAATAGGACAATTGCACGATGACGTCATTTTACTACAACTACCAGAATCCTTGAGTTTGTTGTTTTCTTGTGCAAATTAAGGCTATTGTTCTTTAATCCTCAGCGGGATTGACAAATTTAAATAACAAAGCAAAACCGAAATGAATTCTGGTAGTTGTAGTCAAATATCGTCATCGTGCAATTATTGTCCTATTGTCCGCACAAAACATTTTGACTACCAGGGTATGGGAAAATCAGACTGAACCAAGGTAGGAAGTGGAAGGGTCAAGATCCCTAAAACCCTCTTCAGCTATATATTATGTCCCTGATATGTAGAATATAAAGCCTGGATAAAACATCACAAACAAAGTTGATCTCACAGTCAATGGTTGAAGTTTCTCTGTTTAAAAAGCATGACTAACATCTCAAAACGGTAACGAGAGACTAGGGCAACAACACTGCCTAGTCTGCCAGTTGCATTACACATTAACCTGGCCTGACAATAATTATAAAAAAATTATATGACAAGGTTATCTTCTAAAAACTACCTCAATTACATAAAAATTATTTTAGATATCATTGATTGGTCTAGAAATTATTGTTTCCTTAATACAGATAACACCCACAGACAATGCCTGCTCATGAGCAGTAGAGAATGTTGTTTTGTTACAGTCAGTCTCTCCTTGTGCACAGTTTGGTGCTCATCTTCAGGCAGCAGTCCGTGGCTTTACATTTCCCCAAGAAATTTCAAAACAAAGCAAAAGTACCAAGCATAAAGGATGCTGATTTGTCAGCGTCTTGCAGGTCAACATTATTTGCCTCTAGCTAGCTGTTACATAAGAAATTCAATTTATTGTAAATGACTTGGGGGATCCGAGTGGCTACCCAGACTCCCAGATAAGGGCTCAAGTAAAAAGACAATTTGAATTGAGGGAAATCTACTAGATATAAAGATTACATACAATCAGGATTAAAACACCCACCTAGAAAATTTCTATTCAAAAATAATATTATTAGATAAAAATTGCCTAAGAAAACAATACTATAAAATACAGTTTTACATAAAAGAGTAACTCTTAAAAACACTATAGATAAAGAGTGTTATGAAAAGTTTAGTCCACTCACAATATTCCCACCAGCAGTGAAAAACAGTATTCAAGATGTGGAACTATGCCTTGTACAAGGTGATCATTACTTATAAAGGAATCCTCTATGTCACTACTCGAACCAAATTGAACACAATCAAACTTAGTTGAACCTAATCAAATGGTACGGTCTGATTAAGATTAGTTATCAAACACAAATTATGGTACTCTCACAAAAAAGCTATAACAATCAAACCGGCCAATTGAATATTGATTAGGTTCGGTAGTTGAAGTTGGCATATAATATTGATATAAAATAGGACGTTATACGGGTGACCGGTCATTTTGCTAAAAACGGTCTGTTCACTTACGTTTTACCATTTTCGTTCATATATGCTACAAGTAGGTCAAACAAACCTTGGTGCTTAACTTCCTCAAATTTTTCAGAGTTGATAGCAGATCACTCAAAATCCAGAAAGTATCAGCCAAAATATTTCACAAAAGGAAAAAGTTAAGCAAAAAAGAAAAAGGGCCAAAGTCTTGCGGTCAATCTTTATTAACTCAGACTTTTGAGTTTTCTTGCTGCTTTCCTGATTAATGGAATCTTCAAAATATTCTTGTCTATTTTGAATGATGGTTTACAGTTCTATTTGTTTTGATTGAGGTCAGAACACAAACTTAATCAAACTGTCACGCAAATTTTTTGGTGCGACTGTGTTTGATTACTAAACTTAATATTATTGCACCGCATCATTCAATGAAGTTTGATTGAGAGCAATAAAATTTGATTATCAAACAGTTAAAGTGGTGACAGTGGGAAGAACTAACTTATTCTGACTAATTCAGCAACTTTAGCCATTGTATTTTAAAGCCTTATGTTGACATGTGGCGGATAAGACAGTTTTTTATCCATAGTTAAGATGACGAGAATCTGAAGGATGTACACATAAGTTCTATGTCAACTGTCTGATCACCCACTGACTTCTGATAAAATCATACCAGGGTATTATTAATTAGCTGGCCACAGACTAAAAAATTACATGCCTTGCAAAAAAGAATAAGCTTCTAACATCAACACTCAGCAGAAAAGTTTATAGGACACATCAAAAGCTCCCAAGCCATGGGATACCCAAAAGTTAAACAACACTTAAAGTTTATCAAAAACAAGTCGAAAAACATTTTTTTGGCACTTATCAAGGTGTTTAGCATTTGGCCGAATGTTATCATTGAAGACCTTTACATGACCTCCACTTATTTCTTTGAGGGATTTGAGAGGACAACCAGTATGGAGGGATAATATAGCAGAAGAGTGAAAATCTTGTAAGTGATAAAGATACTCCTTTTCAAAACTCTTTTGACTGTTGATAGTTCCACCTTCTGTACGCTCTGCAAAACAATTCTGGTGTTCTTTGTACGTATCATAAAGGACATCAACGTTGGCTTGAGCCATGGCTTGAAATGATTTGGCAACATGTTGGCCATACATCGTTGTTCGGTTGTTGATCAGCAAATGGATCTTGGGTTTTTTTACACCATACTTGCCAGCCTTTGTACTAAAAGAGTATTCCCTGTATCCACTGAAGCTGGCTGATACCTCGTCATTTCCAACTCCGTATACCAAGTCAAGCATGCTCTTGATGGCAGCACGAGAGAAGTCATCAGCATTAATCGGAATGATTAGCTTTCTCGCTGACACAAGGCCAATTTCAGTATACACAGCAAAAGCCGGGTTGGTGTCTACGAACACAACCCAGTCGTCTTCACCTGTGGTTACTCCTTCCACTTTTCCTTCGTACCCTTCTATAAACCAACGCACAGCGCATGTGTAAAAAACCCAAGGTATCAATCCGTCTGCCCCTGGTGGAATACGCCTAAGTTCCTCGATATTTCGTCCAACCAATTCGAGAGACATGTCACCGCAGAGGAGATGAACATTATCAGATACATGAGGATTGTATTCGTCCACGGAAGTGATGTATTGACTCGGCTTTGCCATTGCCACCGGGCTTTTAAGGTCTTCAAGGTAATAGCAGATTGTTTTCTTCTCCCGATGTAATTTAGAAACGCGTTCACTCCCGTGAGTGCTTAGACTACTCAACAGCGCCATCGATACGTTTGCCTGCGGACACAGATCAATTACCAAAATGTTCTCTTCTGGATGCAGAAAGGCATATTCTGTGGCCAAATGGAAGGTTAGTGTAGATTTTCCTACCCCTCCTTTGTTGTTCCAGATGACATAAGAATCTTTCAAAGGCATTTCGATCTTAAAAACAACCGAAATCGAGAGTGGCAACCACGTAAATTGGGAGGCAGGTACTAAAGAATCCGCTTCGGTGACAAATTCAGGGCCTATTGTTTTCCCGCTATTTAAGTAAAAGCCTCGATCTCACGCAGACGTTCTCATATTTTTGTGATGGAGGAACGAAAAAGCACCAATCGCAACACGCACTTAAAAAAAACCCTTTCGGCTATCCTCCGCCAAGCAACCACCAAGCGAATAAAACAAAGCTGTTTACTGTAGTGTAGGGGCAGCCCTAAAAAGCGGAATCTAACCTAAGACCAGGTGTTTTTGTTTTTGCCTCGTCTCCCGAACAAGAGATGAAGGAAGAAATGGAATCATGGAAACGGAAACGGAAACGGAATACGGAATCTGTTAATGAAGGTTCCAAGCGATTGATTTGAAAAAGAATTTCAATAACAATGAAACGAATGAATAAACAGATGAAAAAAGACATACGCCACTACGTTGTTATTGCGTTACTTTCAGCGGTATCTAGCGCGCGCATGCGCCCGTAGATCTTTTTTGTAATTCCATGCGGTCCTCGTTCGGTCTTCAATAAACCCTCGTTAAGACACAGTTTGTTCCTTATTGGCGTGGTGGCAGCGGCTTTTACCCACGTACGGTGGACCCTAACACAAGTGTGGTCGTCTGGAACCTGTGACCCTTATTTTCACGAAGTGCGAAGATCAACAAATCAACGTGAATTCGCCGTAACCGCTCGTGTAGGAAAACCAACATGGCCGCCGCTCCCAGGGCGCCTAAACAATGGCAGCTTACGAAAAACGAGACCATCACCTCGTACGAAAGTTGGAGGCAAAACTTAGTCTACATCTTATCCCTAGACAAGAACTTTGTCCCATTTTTAGAGGCCACATGGCAAAAACAAACCGCCGCCAACCCTCGAAGAGGCCTTACGAATGATGGCACGTCTATACCTGAGGCACAACGACTTACTGCCGCTCAGAAAAATGCCCACCTGGATCTTCTGCTCGGACAGATTGCCAATTTTTGCCCCGTGATCTCCAGGAACTCCATAGTAAAGCACTCTACCTCTCTGAATGACATTTGGCAGAAAATTCGCCAGCATTTTGGGTTCCAGTCCTCCGGAGCCCATTTCCTCGACCTTGCAAGCATCAGCCTTCAAACTGCTGAGCGACCAGAGGACTTATTCCAACGCCTCATGGCCTTCTTCGAAGACAACCTCCTTGCAGTTAATGGTGGCTTAACCCACCACGGTGAGCAGGTGACCGCAGATGAAGATCTTTCCCCATCGCTCGAGAACACTATAGTAGTTCTGTGGCTGCAGCTGATCCACCCTGGCCTACCATTACTGGTAAAGCAGAAGTATGGTTCTGAGTTGCGTAACAAGACCCTTGCCTCACTCAAGCCAGAGATCTCACAAGCACTTAATTCCCTCCTTGATGAACTACGCTCCATAGAGGACACCAAAGCCATGCGTATTAGCAATGTCAACCCCAGACGCACCTCTAATGGCGGACAGGGCCAACCACGCCGCCGTCCATTTGTATCTTGTATTCTCTGCAAAACCGCTGGACGCCCTCACAACACCCATGATCTAATGGAGTGCCGTTACCTGCCTGATCGTGACAGGAGACCATTGGCCCGCTCACGTCTTATAAACGACGATCCTGATGAGTTTGCGACCGGCGACTGTGGCCCTTATGATGAGTGTTGCGATCATGCCCTCCCGCCTGAGCACAGTGATGTACCTACTGCACCTACTGCACTCCGTGTCAGCATCATTCAATCACCTGTTCTCAACACCTTTTACCACGAGCACCCCGTGCAGCTCACCCTTGATACTGGCGCCACGTCTAACATGGTTCGTGCCTCGGCCGCTAAGTTATATGGCCTACCTGTTACCCCAGCTTCTCAGATGGCCCGCCAAGCCGATGGAGTTACCCCTATGGATGTGGTGGGTGAAGTGCATTGCACTCTCACTCGTGGACAGCAAGCATTTGAACTAGACGCCCTAGTTGTTCGCCAACTCGATGTTGACATTTTAGCGGGAAACCCCTTCCTGGCCCGAAACGACATCGGCATCCGTCCTGCCAGGCGCCAAATTGTAATCGGCGGGTCTGACGTAATCCACTATGGTACTGCTTCCAAACACACTACTCAACCAGCTGTGCGACGCACCCAGTCCTTTCTCCTACGCAACCCGCAACGCACAGTTATACTGCCAGGAGAATACGTTCAGCTTGACACCCCTTGTGATTCTGACCCAGATACGTTATGGGCCCTTGAACCCCGACTAGACTGTCCATCCAACACCCCCCTCAAGGCAGAAGGAGCATGGCCCCCACCTCAACAAGTCCTCTCTGTGGACCACGCTGTACGCATAACCAATACGACTGACTCTCCTATACTTCTTCGGACCGGCGAGCAGCTGTGTCATGTAAGGCATGTTATACCTGTTGACAGCATAGACACCACATCTGCCCCTACCTCTACAGCCACTACTGCCCCTACCTGCTGCCAGCCCTTCTCCACTAATGTGATCCTTGACCCCGATGGCTGCTTAGACGAGGACATTCGCGACAAGTTCAGAGCACTGAATCTGGAGTTTGATGATGTTTTCAACCCCACTATCTCGAAATATAACGGCGCTAGCGGTACCATTGAAGCTGTTGTCAACATTGGTCCCACACTCCCCCCTCAGCGTAAAGGCAGACTCCCACAGTACAACAGAAGCACCCTTGAGGAATTGCAAGCCAAATTTGACGAGCTCGAAGTGGCTGGTGTGTTTGCCAGACCTGAACAGGTGAACGTACACGTTGAGTACTTGAATACCTCCTTCCTTGTTAAGAAACCCAATGGGGGTAGCAGACTTGTGACATCCTTCGGCGAAGTTGCCCAGTATAGCAAGCCCCAGCCTTCTCTAATGCCTAACGTCGATGGTGTACTGCGTGAAATTGGGAAGTGGGAGTATATAGTTATCTCGGACTTGTTAAAGTCGTTCTATCAAATTCCACTGGCTCACTCTTCCATGAAGTACTGTGGGGTAGCCACACCCTTTAAAGGCATCCGTGTGTATACCCGCTCTGCTATGGGCATGCCTGGGTCGGAAACATGCCTCGAGGAGCTAATGTCTCGAGTTCTGGGTGACCTAATTCAAGAGGGTTGTGTTGCCAAAATTGCTGATGACCTGTACGTTGGTGGGAGCAACCCTACAGATGTCCTTCATAATTGGCGGCGCGTTCTTTCCTTGCTTCAACGCAACAATCTTCGTCTCTCCGCGCCCAAAACACTCATCTGTCCCAGAAAGGCCACCGTGTTGGGTTGGGTATGGTCTAATGGCACCCTACAGGCTAGCCCCCACAAGTTAGCCGCATTATCCTCTGTTGACCCTCCTACTACTGTTCAAGGCCTACGATCTTTCGTTGGTGCATACAAGGTGCTCAGCCGAGTACTCCCTAAGTTCGCTGAATTGCTGGACCCCTTGGATCAGGCCACCGCTGGAAAGGAATCTCGAGAAAGACTAGTGTGGTCCGATGAGTTACTCCTGTCTTTCAAGTCCGCCCAACATGCCTTGGAAAACCACAAGACCATCACAATCCCCCAACCCCGCGACGCTTTGTGGATCGTGACAGACGGTTCTGTGAAGAATAGAGGCATCGCAGCCACACTCTACACCCACCGGAACGGTAAACTGCTGTTGGCTGGTTTTTTCAGCGCGAAACTGCGAAAGCATCAAGTGACCTGGCTACCGTGTGAGATCGAAGCTCTGGCCATAGCTTCCTCCATCAAGCACTTCGCCCCTTACATTATCCAGTCATCCCATACAACCGAAGTTCTGACGGACAGTAGGCCTTGTGTCCAAGCCTACGATAAGCTTAGGAGAGGAGAGTTCTCAGCCAGCTCCAGAGTTACCACCTTCCTGTCTACAGTCAGCCGCTATTCTGTCCATGTGCGCCACATTGCAGGTGTTGAAAACCTCCCCTCAGACTTCGCCAGCAGACACCCAAGAGAATGCTTGGACTCCAGCTGTCAGATTTGTCGCTTTATTGCGGAGTTGGAAGATTCTGTTGTGCGCAGCATCTCCGTGAGCGAAGTCCTAGAGGGTTCTGTTCGAATGCCCTTCACCAGCCGCGCCGCATGGCAAGCTACCCAGCTGGAATGCCCTCACCTCCGGCGAACCCATTCTCACCTCAGTCAAGGTACCCGACCTTCAAAGAAGGCTACCAAAATAATTGATGTCAAACGCTATCTTCAGGACGTCGTCATCGCCACTGATGGTCTTCTCGTTGTCAAAGACCACCCGCCTTTCCAGCCCCCTCGCGATCGCATTGTTGTCCCTCGCACTGTTCTTGATGGACTCCTGACAGCCCTTCACATCCGTTTCAGTCATCCTTCCAAGTACCAAACCAAGCGCCTTTTTAGCAGGTACTTCTTTGCTCTGGACCTTGACAAAGCAATTGAGACTGTCTCTTCCTGCTGTCACACCTGTCAATCTCTGAAGACTATCCCTAAACACCTGCACCCGCAGTCTTCTGCCGATGCTCCTCCTACCATTGGCGTATCATTTGCAGCTGATGTCGCTAAGCGTCATCGTCAACTGATCATGGTTCTAAGGGAAACAGTGTCTTCGTACACCGTGTCTTCCTTCATCGCGAGTGAAAAACTCGAAGACCTCCGCAATGCCATCATCATGCTCTGCTCTCAGCTCCGTTCCCTTCGCGACGGAGGGGTGATCGTCCGCGTTGATCCTGCCCCTGGCTTCTCCGCCCTTGCCAAAGACAGAGTACTCCTCTCTTATGGGATCACCCTGGAGGTTGGTAGGCCCAAAAACCCTAACAAGAATCCTGTGGCTGAGCGCGCAATCGAAGAGCTAGGCTTGGAGATCCTCAACTTGTCTCCTGAGGGAGGCCCCGTCTCTCAAACTACGCTGTCCTTAGCAACGGCCAATATGAACTCCCGCATCCGCCGTGATGGCCTCTCAGCTCTTGAGTTGTGGACGCAACGCGACCAGCTCACTGGTGCGCAGCTTCCAATTGTCGACCGCCAGATTATCCTCAGTCAAAACTTTTCCCGCCAGCAGAATCACATGCCGAGTGCTAAGTCCAAGGCCCATGGCTTTACCAAAGCCTCCATCCCCACTGTCCTTGTTGGTGACCTTGTTTTCATCAAAGGTGACAAAGACAAACTGAAAGCCCGCGACAAGTATCTTGTGATCGGCATCGATAAAGACCTTTTCTGTCAGCTCCGCAAGTTTACCAGTTCACAGTTCCGCAGTAAGGTCTACACCATTCCTATGTGTGACTGCTACCCTGTCACCCCAACTGTCCTAGCTCAGACTCCACAAGGACCCATCCGTGGCCAGACCGAATCCACTGCTTCTGACTCTGACGATGATCCTGTTCCCGTCGTCCCTTCACTAAGACCCCCTACAGTGCTTGCTTCTCCACCAGTGGATACCTATACTGTTCCGGTACACCACTCAGTGTCTCCAGCTCATTCTCAGCTACCCGCCCAGGAACACCCCCCAATTCCTGAAGTCATTA